TTCTGAAAGTACATTAAATGTGTTTCACTCAACTTGTTTTGTTCAGTAATATTAGCGTATACTTCTACCATAATAAAGCAAGCTACAACGGGAAGTTTTGAAATACTGTTTAAATAGAATTTAGTTTAAGAGGAATTTACTCCATTGAGATTTACCCTTCGTCGGCAACACTTGCCCTTCGACCTACTCACAATCTTGGATTTCTGGTCCTTGTGCTTAGGTAGGTTTTGAATCTTTAGAATGTCAGATTCCGTGTAAAATAGTATGAAAAGTCTTCACTGGTTGGATTATAAACATTCGGTTTCCAGTTTTTTGTCTTTCTGATTTTAGCGAGTATAATTACAATTGAAGAGAATAAAACATCGGTAAAAAAATCACCAGCTGCTAGTGGTAAAGATAAGAAAGGGACCGCCGCCATTAAATCTGAGGTTTGTTACAATGCCCATGTATCCCTTAAAGCTTATTAAATCCCTTAAAATTGAGTGTAAAATAAAACCAGTACCTAGTTACCACCGTTTACGATAGTGAACGTAAATCTCTTAAAATCATAATTTTAGAATGACATCTTAAAGTAGTGACAAGCGGTAACTAAGTATGCGGATTATAAATTATATTTTATTTTAAGGGATTTAACTTTTAATGAATCTGTGTTAGGATTAATTCTATTTTGTTTTGTAAACCTACATCGTTGTCCTTGCACTTTGTTTTCGCAGCCGGCAGTCGAGCATGATAGGTCAGTAATGACACAACACAATATCTGTGCTCGAGATAATAAACGACGCCTAAGACAAGTTCGCTGCTACCGAGCGCAAATCAGTTCATGTACTTTAGCTTCCATAGAACCCAGATCACATCAAGTACGCTCACTTCTGCCGAATCAAGATCACTGAGGTCAGATTATTTCCGTCATCTAGCAGTCGTGACTTAAAGGAGCTAAATCGCTAATATTTGGGACCTAGAAATTGACACAAATGGGTCGCAACGCATACAATAATGTAATATGAATGTATATAAATTGATTTACATTCAATCGTTTCTGTTTTTACTGTAATTTCTAATCAGTTAAGTTCGGCGACATACGCCAGTATTCTCAATCGAATTTCAATCTCTAGCTTCTGGTTATTCCAGTCTACGCCGATAGTATTTATTGGGCATGCTCTCCAGATAAGAATATAGCGTCACCATTTGACATGACTTGTGGAATATGTCTAGCCTCATTTTTCGAGTCCCTTATTACACATAGCGCTGAAACGCATTATAGTACACGGTTCGTGTACCAATTGTAAAATGTTTATGTTGTCTTAAATATTGGATATCAGAAGGCCATCTTTTCCCGGTAAGATCACAACATCAATGTTGATTTAAAGCGACAAATAAATCGTGTTTTCAATGTCGAAGATTTTGGATGATATTGGGTTAGAGATTTAGCTACTTTAAATAAGTCATTGGCAAAGTATTTAAATTCACCAATTTTAACATGTGTAGCGGTTATTGATACATTGTCTATTTTGACGTCGACATGATGTTAATATCTCCGAAAATCTGAATATTTGAACTAGTAGTTTCATTTCATGTTCAGGGTGGATCTAAAAGTAATTCAAAACATGCTAAACCACATCCTGCAGACAAAGCTCCAACTGCAATCAAGATAACTGAAGCACCTAAAATAGAAACAATGGTTATTTTAAAAGAAAATCCGGCTATCTACGCGAAATATATGGATAAATTAAACATCGCTGTAAGTTCACTTTACTTTTATAGTCCACCACCGTCCGTCTGTCTGTCTGAGTGTCACACGTTTGTGGACCATAAAAACACTGTTTCTAATAATAGAACTTGGTGGAGGTATTCATTAGTTCATGAGTTAGGCAGAATTAAGCAAATTGATTTGTAGATGCTTTGGGATACAGTAAGTCTGATTCTAATTGACTAAGAATGGTGTATAGTTTCATTGCATATACTCTGACTGTGTTGGATAATCAGTATTTCTACACAGAATAAGCAGCGTGATAAGCAATTTGATTGATCGAAGCTTTATAAAAGGATATATTATGTGCAATAATGTATTTTAGGATATTTTTTGTAGTTTTGAAGATGGGGGGGGGGGGGGGGCTTACTCGAACACCAGGCTCACTGTCGTCTTGATATTTTAAATTTTGTCTATTTTTTGAAAATCAAAAATAATTGTTTATTTAGCTAAAGCATTAATTAATGATAGATCAATCTCGTTTGTGAAATTTGTGGTATTTAAATTACCGAATGTTAACCAGTGGCGCGGAGAGAGGGTGGGGATGGGGACAACGCCCACGAGCGATATTATTTGAGATCATCGCTGGTGACTTTGTTTGACAAGCTCTCACATTTAATTTGAATAAAAAAAAGAACTTATTTCATCTGTTTTTACATATTTGGATGTGCCCCTTTCTCACTTTTCTCTGTACTAGGCCATATACTTAAGTGTTGGTTGTTTTTTGTTGTTTTTTGTTGTTGTGTGTGTGTGTGGGGGGGGGGGTATATAATCAAGGAGTTGGAGCCGGGCACAACCAAACCTCTGCACATCACTTAATTTAACTAATGTTTCATCAATATTGATACCTCGTCGTTCAGTGTTATAATAGTGATTTGTTTATTAATCTATAATTTATGTGTGGGTTTTGTATATTTTCAAGCAATGGGTAAGAACATTTATCATCTTATCAACTATTGTTACATTTACTATTGTTAAGTGGGCGCGGTTCAACTTGGAGCCTGAACTCGGAAATAAGACGTTCCTTGGAAACCGGACCCATGTATCTCTTAGGACTTAATGCATTTTCTTCTATATCTAAACACGCAATTTCTTTGAAGCTCAATCGATGCCCGTGTGAATGGTGTATAACAGCTATTGGTTTAGGTGGGGGTTATAATTATAATCAATGAAAATAATCGTCCATAAACATTATCAGGTGTGACAATGGTTAATGAAATGAAATGAAATGAAATGAAATGGGGTTTAACGTCCTACTGTTTTGCTCCTATACTGGGCTAATGAAGACGGGCATACGCCATACAGTGTGCTATGAGGGAAATTTTGCCCGGGCAGCGGCACTATCGCCTACTCTTATATCGAATTCCAACTGCCAAGGGATCTTTTACGTGCATTCCAATGTTTACACGGGACCTCGGTTTTTCGTCTCATCCGAAGGACTAGACAGCTGTCCTTGTCATGCCCTCCGTCCTGCATCACTGACAAGGGGAAACCACGTCGGAAAAACAATGGTTAATGAACTGATAATGTCGTTACCATTGCTTCGAGAATATGGCGGCCTTTGCCACCCATTATCTGTCGAGTCGTGCAATTCTCAATGCCAAGCATGGTTTGATTTGATCTGAGCATGGTTATTTTATAATTACATTACTTGAAATTGTTAACTTTTCAACAATTTGTCCTAAATCTGTTATGTTTTGGGTTGTTATTTTTTAACTGGTAAGTATATTTTAGTTATTTCTTTTTTAATATAATACTGTAATACAGTAGATTTACAAGGTAAGATTTATCTAACTGTAAAAAGTTTATGGCATACTGTGGTTTGTTCTGTAGTTTGTTGCATCCAATGTTTAAGGTTTTTGTGTTGGATATATGTCTATTGTTATCCTTTGTATATTTTTAATATGTTCAATATTTTTACTCGGTTAAAATGTTAATTTACTTTTAGAAATATTTGCGCTCTTTATTTTTTGTATTGTTGTAACAATGTAAGCGAAATATTCTTAGCGTCGAATGTAACCTGGCTACCCACTGAAGTCTATGCACGTATAAATCGCTCAAATTTAGTTCAATTCTTGTATAAATCCCGGGTAATCTCCTTATTAAATCTTATTTATTTTATTATCTGTATTTTCAGTGTCAAGTGATTTTAGCTGATATGATCAAAGAAATGGATGAACATTTATCATGTATGAAAGAAAAATTAATTTTGTAAATTCATGGAAAGGTCCAAGTTTTGAAACCAAAACCAACTGATCATTATGATTTATTATAGTTTATAATAATTTTTACATATTCCTGGCAATTTTTTAAAATAACATTGTATACTTAAATTTCTGTACTATAGTTCATTTTAGCTACGGACCGATTTAAATTTCAAACCATAAATGATTTATGAATCTTGATATATTATATATTTTAGTGAAGCGTTTCAAATTTCAAATCATGAATGGTTTATCAATCATGATATATCCATATATTTATATATTTAAACCAAATTTCAAATCATGATATATCCATATATCCAACCTCGTGGGTTTTCTCCGGGTCCTCCGATTTCCTCCCACTGCTAAAGACCCCTACGCGCAAGCGAATTATTGAAATACAATTAAACCACATCTTAGTCCCGAAATGACCTTGTTTGTGTCGAGTGGACGTTAAACCCCATCTCTCTCTCTCTCTCTCTCTCTCTCTCTCTCTATATATATATATATATATATATATATATATCCATATATTTAAACCAAATTTCAAATCATGAATGCGTTTAGATATATTGTAACTTGTTGAGCAAAATTTCTGATATATTGGTTCCATATGAATGGTTAGTTTCAATTCATGCACACATTTTTATTCTAGTGAATCATAATGTCTAATCTCTGTAAGGGTTAATATTTCAAATCAAGAGTAAATTTAAATTAATTGTATAGTGTTAATGATTCAAATCATGCATTGTTCCAACAATTTATAATTATTGTAACATATGTTCTAAAATTTAAAATTTTGACAATGGATGTGTGTATGTTTTATACGTTTTAGCACTTAATATGCTACTAACTTAATCGTGTACAAAATCAATGGTATGGTTCATTACAGCCGATTGTGATTAACGTAGACAAAATCAGTAATTTATGTTCTATCTTTTCTGTTTGACCCAAAGCTTGAAGTTTAATCTGATATTTAAGTTTGGAGATTATATTTTTTAAATTGTCGGTTTAATCAATGTACAAAAACTTATAATTGCTTTTATACAAATGAATAATATTTAAACTTATTAACTATACATATCATGCTGTTTGACATAATCACCAAAGCACATGAGAGGATCCTTGAAGAAGTCGACAAAATATTTCTCACCAGGATGGCCAGCATAGGGTGTAAACAAATCACATTTAGTGGAAGAACAATAGTTTGTCCACGTGTTCATATAAGCGATTCTCTTAGCTGCATCTCTCTTTTGGACATACCTCGTCCCTTTAATAGCGCTCAAAACGCGATCAGACCAGAAATTATGGACCTCATTGATGCGACTATTGGTCAGACCAGCCTCTGTTAAAGCAGGTACTTTGTCTTTTTTCTCAGCCACTGTTACTAATTCATTCAAATAATCTACAAATTTCTGTAATTTTGAAGTTGCGGACAAATCGCCATAATCGTCTAGTCCAAGAATATCAACATAATCATCACCAGGATACGCCGCCATGTAAGATGCTATACCACCATCTTCCGTCATGCTCTTGTAACCCGAGCCTGGACTGAATGCATACAGGAAGTTATGAACGCCTTTAGTATCTCGAAGATATTTAACGGTATAACGATAAATATCCTGAAGATCCTTGGGTGTATTGTTTACTCTATTACCTAAACCCCACCAAAACCATCCGCCATTAGACTCGTGGAATGGGCGGAATATGATGGGTATGTGCCTTCCCTTGGAATCAAGCAAAGAGTTAGCCCAGTGAGCAATTTTGTCCAGAATATCCATGTAATGATGCGGGTGTTTGCCACCCGGGAGCAGTTCTCGAACTATATGTTGTTCATTACCCATACTCCAGGCGTTTCCTCCGTTAGCAAAATTATTAACATGCCAAGACATGGCGACCACCATCCCTCTACTGTAAGCTTTCTTGGTGAGATACGTAACAGTTTTAATCCAATCAGAATCCATTTGGTAGAAATCAAAACCAGTAAATGCTGGGTATTGGCCAGTTACTTGTTTGACGTCACATAGATCATCTTCGTGCTTGTTGTCTACCATATTGGTCTATAACGATAACAAGTAAAGTAAAACCTATTGTTCCAATGAAAATACTGTACCTGTATCGCGGTTTGACTCAATACCCAGTTCCGCTAGGTTCCTTAGTTTTTAATTTGAAAAAATCCACCTTAATCCGGTTTGGGTAGGTTCATGGGCACAAAAACCTTAACCGTGACATTATTACATGGTATATGGTACGCCCACATATTCAACACTACACTTAGCATGCCTATTAATCGCAAATATACAGCAAAATATTTAATACGACGCCAAATAAAAAGTTCATGCTTACACTTGGCGTTTTTGAAAAAGTTCAGCTATAGCTAAATACAAGTTACATCATAATATCTGATGCTCAAAGAGCATAATTATACGACTTACCGTAAACTCCCAGGACTTGAACGCGCCATCGTGTGTATGTATCTTGAATGGAGCTCGTCCTCCTGAGGCACCAGATAAGGTTGCTTTGTGTTGCCCAAAGAGAATCTTTGTGGGATCACGAGCTATCTTTTTCAGATTATTGTATAGAGTTTTAGTCAGTGATGTAGCATGTTGATCGGCTGGTCCGGATAGTACACTGGCTGATGATATCAGTATTAATAATATGATCTAGGGAAGAAAAATGGCGATTCATTGGTGGATATTCCCTGATCTATGCAATAGATTTTTATGGCATGTCGGCCAGAAGAGATTCAAAGGCGTTTGACCTTGTTTATTGGGAAAACCGTCTGTTGCATCCCTGATTTTTGTAAGGTTATTAATGGGCGTGTGAAGTCATGTCATGGGAGTGTGAAGTCATGTCATGGGATTCAATATCGTTGTTGCATCCCTGATTTTTGCAACGTTATTCATGGGCGTGTGAAGTCATGTCATGGGAGTGCGAAGTCATGTCATGGAATTCAATATCGTTATAATTGTAAGAAGTTGAATGATATCACAGATCACTAATGGCTAATAAATCAAATATATCGCATTACAAATAACAGCATATTAGTGTCAATATATCTTAGTTAAATTGTCGATGGGGCGTTAAACCCTGTCTTCGTCCCTCTTACCTTCATCCTGGTTACTAATATTTCGTGTGAAATACGTTAACTTACAAATCTGCACAGTCTAATATACATTTGTAAAATCTCTCGTGAGAATAGAATCACATGTTCGTTGAACATTTTGTTATCTTTATTATAAGGTTTGGTGTGGTCGTTTTTAATCCTTGGCCTATTATAACACAGGCAGACGACAATGTTTCTCTTGAGCTTGTCTTTATTTTCTTGGTTTATAGTTGGGTTAGAACTCTGTACCACTTCAGGAAACAAAAAAGATACATGCAATTCTAATCCAAAAGATTACGGACGAACCGCTGAGCGAATGAAGACGGGCATACGCCATGCAGTGTGCTACTAGGGAAATTCTGCCTGAACATCAACTAAATTCCAAGTGTCACGACAAGGTGTACACAGGACCTCGGTTTTTCGTCCCGGGGTACTTTCTCGGCCAACACCAGAATCAATGGATCTTTTACGTGTTTACGTGCACGACAAGGTGTACACAGGACCTCGGTTTTTCGTCACGAGGTATTTTCTCGGCCAATACCACAATCAAACCCCGGACCTCCTGATTAGTGGGCCAGCGCCTTACCCACTGAACCACCGCGCGACTGTTTGAAAAGTATGACAATAGAAAAAGAATGATGCGTTGGAGGAGTGAGGGGTATTCAACAAAAACTGAGAAACAACTTTTGTATGAAACTGACAGTGGGTATTGCTTTCGAAACTTGGATTAGCCTCTGTCCTGGTAAAATCTTTGTTACAATAGCGCGCCTAATAAGTTAAAATGACCGTATGTTTATAATAATATTTCGTAGATGTCGTGTTATAGCTCTTGGATCTATGTGATTTACAAAGGTTTTATAATTATTTTCTGTGGTGGTAAAAATCCCGATTTGACCTATTCCTGAAGTTGTCTCCCCTATATCATTTATTCCTTTCAGTTGTGGTTTCACTGCTCACTTTGTGTTTTATGTATGTGGAATGTTAATTATCTGTCAGATTCTATGAAGTGCTGATTATTTCTATGGCCATGGGACATCAACATCATTAAAATCAACACGTTATATATAGTATCGGTATGATTTCTTTCTAGTACTTGCATTAAATCCATTTTAATTCCATATATATAAGGGGGCGTGTAGAAATTTTTTAACGATGTAGTCCAGTCAATTTATGATTTTACCCCACAAAAATTGCAAGAAAACATTTGTTTGCATTTTTGCGTTTATTTAGGTGTACTTTATAAAATCCTAAAAGTTTACCAAATTTTGCGCACCGGAAAGCGGTAAAATCCCAGATGGCTTACATTTGCCTAATCAATGTACAAGAAAATCCTAAACTGTTGGTTTGGGACCCTATAAATGTATTTATGAACATATAAATTAATGCTTTTGGGCCATTCTTTCATTTAAAGATATAGCCAGTAGTGTTAACTGGTCTCTTAAAGCGGTATAAATAAGTAAAATCCAAGATGGCCGACATTCGCCAAATCAATGTAGAAGAAAATCTTAAACTTTTGGTTTTTGATCCACATTTACGAATAGGCTTTACCCTGCACTGCTTAAACATAATATAGCACGTTTGGTATCTGAAGTAAGGTTTTTGGGGTCAATATTTCCTATTGTATCAACAATGGTATTGATATCACCTTCCAAGAAGACACTTATTTTTAGTTCGGTACCTCAAATCACCTGAACAAAAAGTGTTTGAAAACTTATTTAAGATTCATAATTGCTAAAATTTAACTAGGTGTACAATGTGATATATAAAAAATCCATTAACATTATAGAACAATACGATCTCATATTTTAAACTGCTGGTTTTACTTTATGCCATATAAATAAATAAGTCATAAATGGAATGCGGTTTGGCATGTGAACTTCCAATAATTATTACACAGTGGGCTTCTCATACAGCTAAACAGAAATCCTTATTTCTATGACACCAAGTAAGTGCCCCCGTGAGATAAAGTCCCCTGAGACCCAGTCTCATAAAATTAAAAGCTCAGTTATTATAAGTCGCTATCTGTCTACGACGCTTGGTGCCATTGTCATCATTCTTCCACTCCTTTATGTTCTTGTACTATCTTATCGCTATCTGGAATTTTTCGCGTCTACGGCGTTCGATTCCATAATGTCACCATGCTTCTACTCCTTATGGTCTTATACTATCTTATCATTGTCATATTCACGGTTAAATATACGTAAATTTGGGTTTGCGTCAATATGTTTTGGGGTAGGAGATTAACCGAAAATAGTATATGGAACCATTTAACACCACTGGACATGTATTCATATAAACGAATGGACCCAAAACCATTAATTCAGAGACCAATCTTGCTATTTTGTAGGCAGACCACCATTAAATTTCATCATCTCGGTACCCACGAATTGTAGTTCGTCTATTTATAGCAATTCTCTCTCTCTCTCTCTCTTTTCTCCCCTTTTGCATGCCCATTTGTGTTGATTTTTTTGGTCTAGAATGGATGAAGAGGGTTTGAATTAACATTTTCTGCCAGGTTTTGGTAAATATTCATGATTTTGAGGCGGAAGGATAAGAGGGTTATCAGGTTAGCTACGGCGATATGTACGGCAACTAGTTACATGTTTTTAGTATGCTTCTTCAAGTTTGTGTATCTCAAAATTTTGGTGGTCAACCTCATACAAATTTTAGTGCAAAGACATGACCATTTGTTCCTCTGTCTGTAGTGGAAAGCATTCAGCCCAACGAAAATTTGGGGAAAAGTTGGAGGTGGGCAAAGAGGCCAGAATTAACATTGAAGTCAATGGGGAAATTAATGGTGGTCTGCCTCCTTTTTATGATAAAACAATTCAGAGTTATGCCCCTTTATACATTTGGATTCTGTGCAGCATGTTTCTGGGGTAACGATATCCCCGAAAATGGTTCAAGAGAGCATCGGACATCTATGAAAACCTGGCATATAAAAGTTTGACACTGACAACTGGCGTCATTTTCGTGTGTTTCTCTTAAAAATTGACAACTTTGAAGTTGTACCTTTTAAGGTAAAATGGCTTAAAAACCTGAAATTTACCCTCAAACTTTGGGACTTTCCGGTACTCCAATTTTGGTAAACTTTTGGGATGTCATTCAGTACACTCAACGCTACAAAAAACCTTTTCTTGCAATTGTTTGAGTGATTGTAGCAGCTGTCGTCGTTGTCGATCTATTTGTATGCGATGAAAGCTGCTAAAATCAACTTTTAAAAACTTTCTTCATGCCTCCTTTAAATTGCAGAATCATAACTAATAAAAAAAAACATATGTATACTAATTTTGTCGGGATAGGTTATCGATGACATTTTGTATGATTTTACCAATCTCTTTGCACATATAATGTGCAATAAACTATATCAATCATCATCGTCAAATAAACATAAAGTAACGAACCTAAAAGCATATCCTGTAACTCAGCCTCAAAGTTTGTCAGACTATATTATAACCTTTTAAGACCCAAAACTGTTTTTGACAACAAAATTGTATAAGGTGAATACAATACAGAACTATAAAAAGATCTGCTGGGTTTAAAGATAAACATGGGAAGAAACAAAAACATTCGTTTTGTGAGTATTGATGTATACTATTTAAAATGACGATAGACTTCTTTCATAACCTTTTATAACAGTCGACCGAGCCAAGAATTAAGCTAAATTTGAAACCAACCGACATCCACTTAAAGATGCATCATGTCAGATTTAGATAAAGAGCTGGCCATTCTGGCTATAATAACTTAAAAACAGAAAATGAAAGATGAATATATTACTTATTTATAAGCAAAGTTATGAATGTTTGAAGTTTTGACAAGAATAGCTTAGTTTCGATTGTCATTGCTACGACAATAAAAAAAAATCGATTTTTCATTTATTTCGTTAACCGATTAAATGACGCGGGTGGTCTGATCCAATTAACACCCCGCCCCCCCCCCCCACACTCCCCCTCCCCCCACACACACAACCCATCCTCTGCTCACGGGGTGTTGGATTTCTCTCTTTGAAAAGCTCAGTGTATATGCATGTCTGTGTAATTTGGAGACGATGATGGCATCATGCATTGCCAACTGTCAGGAACCTGGCACACCCCCATTCCACAAAAGATTCCTGGATCCGCCCCTGCTAAGCCACCCGATGCTCTAGAGGGTTGATTATGGGCCTGTTTTGTGAATAAATGTCTAAATAGTAATTTAAATAACATACAGACCTTCAATATAGGCAGATTTAGCGATTGCATAATGTATCTTTAACATTTTGAAACTAAAATTTAATAGTGTAGATCTTACCACATGACCAACGGGACTAATTCTCAAAATAACTATTCCGAACAACATGTTATGCAAACAAACACACATACGGTGGTTGTGATTCGAGACACTAACGCTTCTTTCCAGTGGAAAAAAAGAGTGATACGTCCTTCCAAAGGACTTTAAATCTTATTGTGATTAATTCTTCAATATTTATTTAATCTGACCTAAATCGGGAGGTTTAAAATCGCTTACTATTTATTACTAATATCGAATCCTAATTAAATTCTCGGATTATCCACTACCCGCGTCTTTTTCCGTCATTTTTATCTCAATGTTCGCTTGTGACCTTTGACATCACGCGTGCAGAATCTCCTAATCGTTGGGCTGTTGATTAGGGGAACCCTTACGTTTTTGTCCTGTATACGCTCCATGAGTGTTTTTCGGGGAATCCAGTATTACCAAAATTGCCATACTTTTATTGGAAATAACCACCCGATAAATACTTTTCCGGGAACCCATTTTTAAGTTGTAAATATTTTTATATGTAAACCCTGTTAAAGTTAGAACACTAGAGTGGGGACTTGTATAATTAGTTCCAACAAATAATTTCAGTAACCTTTTTTAACTCGATACTATCTACGAAATTCGAAACATTTGTATGATTGTAACTGCCTATTAAATACGTGATATCACACGCTGTTTAAACCCAAAACAGGCGGTGTTGGGCTCATGGTCCGTTTGAATTTAATGCTACTTGTATATTTTGCGTGTAAAATCAGCTTACTGTTATTTAAAACTAACTCTATAATTGGTCCGCCATCACGTACACAGAATTCCATATAAGCAGAAAAGTAGGGCGTTAAATCCTATTTCATTTCATTTCCATACATATACATACTGTTTGGATAAGTGTCCAATATGTGGAAACGTTAAAGTGAAAATACTGTTAATATAACATGTCTTGTAAAGGCAGGAATGCTATAAATGCTGTCAGTTGTGTTAACGCCTGATCTTCCATGTCACGTAGTAACTTTCTGCTTTAACTTCCCTGACAATTGAGTGGCGTAACAACCCCATCTACACTTCCATATCAAGAGAGTGGTGTATTATCGCCTTGTCTTCTATGCCAGGGCAGCATTGTTACTGGGCGCCAGCGTTACTACCTGATACCCCACGTCAAAGAAACGACATGGACGTATTATATCCAGTGATATATAGACGTGTCGCATTTTACATGCCAGGCGCTGACGTCTAATTTGCTATGCGTGGGCAGCGGTAATCTTTATTGCCTGGACACTGGCGTTCCCGCCAAATAGTTCATGCCAAGACAGCAGCTTTACCTAACACATAAAGTGAAGAAATGGTTAGGAGACTATGAGTTCGTCTTGGTAATGTTTCACGGTCCGTCTTAAATCAAAATCGCAATCAGAATTTCCAACTAATGTTTAAAAGGTGCTCAAAAACCGACAAAAACTTGTCAAACATATTTATTATCAATTACAGGGTTGTTATTAAAGTGTAAAAATATAAATTGGTAACAATTAAACCTTCACAATACTAATTATTTGATTACTAACATTTCCTTATCTCTAGCACTCCTCTAATCATCTTGTTGTAATTAGTTTTAATTAAAACCACGTGAAGTCGACTGATATATCGTACCATGAAATACAAAATAAAACCAGATTTCATTTCAGTTAATTGTTTAATTGTTAGCACGTGATGATCTTGGAAAACCCGGTTAGAATTTCAACACTAATCATCCATTTTTTGTAGAAATTTCTAATGACAGTTTAAGGTAAGTTGTAACTGGATGTGAGAATCTTCAGTAGTTCTTCAAAAAGAACTTATTACTTAGTTGGTCTTCGCCGGTTGTTAAAGAAAATGATTTTCTATCTAACGCGATTTGACTATACAATCACGCCGGGCAGTTTCCAGTTAGATTGCATTTATAGTTTGTGGTAGATCCGCCGAGTTATCGCTGGGATATCAACGTTTTAACTTTCAATTTATGAGTCGTGCAGATGTTTTAATAATTTTCAGAGATTAACGAACGCCCGTGCAGAGTACCTTATTGTAAATAAGAGAGTTCTTGGGGTTTCAATTATTAAATTAGTCTGGGGTTATTTTGAATACAATATTATATAAAATTAATTGGATTTGTTCATTTTCGACAAGAAAGTATAAAATTTAATTATTTCAATATAATTTAATTTTCAAAACAGCCCTTGCAGGCTCATCCAATTGTCGAAAAAAAAAAACAATCTCCTACTGGGTACTTGGATCAGAATATTATTATGTTATACGAGCATCCGCTAACATCAGGGGCCTATTTCCCGAAATTTCAACTAAGATAAAAATCCAAATTTTAGTAATTTGATTGGATAATATTAGATTGATTTAAGTGCTAAGCCAATCAAGATTGGAGTATCAACTAAAATTTGAATGTTATCTTTAGTTAAGATTTCGAGAAACAGGGCCCAGGCCTAGTGGTAACAATGTGTACGACTAGCAATAAATTTTAAAACATCTATTTAACTGTGACGAATCTTATCGTTGGTCTCCTGTGGAAGGGTCTGTTTTCTATGAAATGAATAACAGATTATTTCTTGTAGTTGATAGTAACAAAGTCCACCTTAACTAAGAATTGTATTAATTACATATACAACCGGTTAGTTCTTTACATTCTGTTTTGAATAATATTTGAATTGGCGTGGGGGTGGGGGGTCGTCTTTGATGTAAAGACGTGAGATCAGTTCCCGACAATAAAACAACACATTATAATGTTGATTACCACTGACCAGTGACTACTGCACAGTTTTAATTGTTTTGAAAAGGTCGTGCCGACATAATGCAGTATGGTAAATCCATTACGTACTAAAGTTCTGAAGAAATCATGCCCTGTAAGTTTACTTAATTAGGTATTGGCTTTCATGGGGAGGAATTTTATTAGAAGGAAATATAAATAAAGTTTGTAAAACGAAGATATCTAAATATAAATATTTCATGCCTGGAAATATTTTATACAGAAACTTATGTAAAGTCAAAAAACAATAATTGGGAAAACGATTACAACCGCTAAATGGTGTTATCTCCCTTATATCATATTATGCAATTTTTTAATATTTTTCCTCAGATACTGTACCTTCCATGCAAAACACCTTTTTCTGACAGTTTTTTGCTTCTAACAATAAATAAACACAATTCTTTAAGTATCACAGTTCTATTATAGAGAACATAAACTACATTTGTGGTTTATTTAGCCACAATTGTGTGTAATTCACTATCAGTAAAGTCCCATCTTCAAACTTCAAAGAATTTACGACATGTGCGACCACAGGTTTACCCTACTTCTGAGGCATGCGCAGAATGAGTGTATCGAATGGTTGTAGTTTGAATCTAGAGGATTACTCACATTCCCGTAGATAATTTTAACTCAGAGGAAGTGTTAATCATCAATAGGATGTGATTTTATACTATTTTAATCGTTGGATATGTTATGTGTGTGTATTGATTGGATATCTATATTGTAACGGAGCTGTTGTCTCTTTAACAACGAGCACCTTGCACTCAGTTTGTGTAGTCGCGAGGGGACGTTCGAAATGAAAGTCATGATTTTGAAGTGAACAGAGACCACTGTTAGAATGTCCCAATTTACTGGTTGTTAGAGAAAATGAATTTGTTTTGTTCTCTGTGAAAATGTGATAGTGTTGTGACAACAATGATGCGCAATAAACAACAACCCCCTCCCCCTCCGAAACCTCGGAAAGACCACCGACACTGGAGTCAACAAATACAAGAATCGGTCGTATCTTCAACACACGAAGATAGTCTAAACATTATTGTCAAAGGAGGGGCAGATAGCGGCCTCTTTTGTTTTGTTGGCGATGTTAATCATGACCACATTTCATACCATGGTCAGAAACTTTACACCGAGGATACGATTCTTGAAATACAGGGCCAGAAGATATCGGGATATACATTACGGGACGCTACACTGTGGTTGAAACAAGTCAGTCAAAATGGGGCTCCAGTGATGATAAAGACACTCAGGCCAGGTAGGTCATGGGTCAGCCTTTAGGCTAGCCATAATGAATGAGTCAAGTACACTAGCCAGCAGGGTTCAGCCAGCCCTCTTGTAGTATAAGGTTGTAGTGTAGGCAATATTGGCAAGTCTGTTATCTATACACCAAGCTAGAGTAAGTTAATGAGAAGGTCACACACTCTAGGTGACACACCTCTTTATTTACAATCTGTAATTGTCATACTGACTGTTGTTAGACTGGATAAGTACCCACCCCTTTTTGACAGCTAAAAACAACAACATGTGACTCATTTTAATTATGGTAATCATGGTAATAATAAGGAATGTATTGTTGAGCTAATTACTCTTACACTCATTTCTCTGTTCCATGCTGTAGGGTAAATATTTTGGTTTGTGTTCATTGGATTAAATATGACATACACTGTTTGTTATGTAAAAATGAAAATATAATCCATATGCTTTGTTATGCTCATGTATTTCACAGTATACACTGTAACCTATAAACAATTCACGTGCAATACAAGTATATTCTAATCTTCCATAACTTACCATGAATATACAAAATAATCCATGGTTTATAATACACAATTTACTGTGCAATACAAGTATATTCTAATCTTCTGTAACTAATATACAAAATAATCCATGGTTTATAATACACATTGTTTTAAATACCCCAATATTACATGCTGAATACACATACATGTACCTATAAACCAATATACATATAGTATGTACTGTGAAATATAGAATATTACTAAGTACATGTAACTCACAGTAAATATACATTACAACCTAAATAGTGTGTATTATCGTGATCTGTACATTGAATAGGGAATCATGCCTGTATCAGAACTGTAACAAATTTTTAGAAAAGAAAGGCATACGAAACAATGTATGTGTACAACAAAACAAAAGTAGAACAAACAATATTGCAAAACAGCAGTAGCAGTTCTGTTAGAGATACATGTACACCTCCAAGAGAACACAGAACATTTTAGGAGGAACTTAACAAAATGTTTAATCAAAACATTAGTATTTTTATAATAAAATTTATTTCAATAGATCACTCATTTCCATAGGCTTACTTACTGTACCCGTATTTATAATCCACTGACTGGCTGTAATAACTGTTATGTTAAATACCTGCTCTTTATCTTATTTACATTTAGTTTATAAATATTACACGCTCGATTGAACTTTAATGTAAAAAGGTCATGGAATACAGGTGTATTTTGTAAGGTGTGTTTATTTTTGTGATCAATTATTTGTGTTATTTGGGTCATACGTATTGGACAATAGAAGATAGAGAGACTACACTACATACCTGTACAGGATCAGTACAGATATATCAACCCCATACGGTACCACAATGGTGAATGAGAAATACTACTGGTTTTACAGTTCATCTTTGACAGTGCTTATATCAATGGTCAAGTCTGTGTCTAACAGAAAATTAATATCAGTGGTCAAGTCTGAGTCAGTGTAACAGATAATTAATATCAGTGGTCAAGCCTGAGTCTCTCTGACAGTAATTTAATTTAAAGCTCTAGCCTCTTGTTCCTTATAATTGTGTCACATTTTTGAAGTCCACAAAGATAATGTGTTCCTTTGAGCATAATTAGGTCATCTATTCAATCCACAATGATACTTATTAATATCTGGAAGTATTAATGACAGTGTCATTCATGGGATCTGTGTTAAATTTGTATTATTTAAAACATGCTTGAATTGAAAATATCTGTCAAGATAAATTGTTTTAATATAATTTTCTTGGTAGATTAGACATATTTTTCAATCAACGGGTGTGTAGTTTGGATGTTGGCTGTCAAGGAAATACACATACATGATTACATGTATATAGTTAACATTGCTTTTACTTTGTCTTTGTTGAAATTTGTGTGATGTATCCCAAGAATCTTGTCCTATATTGATGAATTTATGTGATCTGCATACACTGTAAGCCTTTTCTGTAATTTTTACAGACTTGTTTCTGTAAAACGCCTACAGCGCAGGTCTGTTATCCTGATTACAGACACGAGTCTGTTAATATTTAAGAAATACAGAATTTCGTCCGTAAATATGACATACGGGTGTTTAAATTAAAGTGACGTCATCGGTCTTCCTGGGCGCCATTACTGCGAAGACCGTTAGTTAGCGGCAAAGAGGAATCCCTCAACATCGAGCACAATAGTTGAACACTACAGTCAATACCAAACATTGCAGTTTTAGGTAAGTATACAGTAGGGACACATCTTTGTTTGACATAGATTGATTCTTAGCATTCGTAAAAATGTACGGTAACTGATTTATGAAATAGTAGGAATAGACTCTTCTACTTCTAGACAAATGGACATACATGATACTCACATACACTGTCACAGTGTTAGTGTTAGCACAGAGTAAAAATACACTCTGGTGTTAGTGCTAGGCCTAATATTTTTTCGCATTGTTTTTGGAGGCTTCAGTTCTAGTTGAGGCTACTCGGATGACATAATAATAACATTGATATAGAAAAAAAATATATTAACTATGAAGGGCTAACATTTCTGGGCTTCATTAAGTTCATAGTCTCAGGTCTGTAGGCTAGGCCTACCACTGAAAACCATTATTAAGAATTTATTGAATTGTCAATGCATTGTCTGGATAATGATCTTTAATTTTTTATTTTACTAATTTTTTTAGGCACAGCTTATTGCATCCTTGAGTGCCATTCCTGTCATCTATAGAGTGGGCTACCCAGCCTTTCTCTGGGTTAGTAAAATTTTTTCAAAGGTAGGCCCTACCGGTAAAGAAAAATTATAAGATTGAACTTACTGAAGATAATAATTTTGGGAGTTGAGCGCATTGTTAATGAAAACCAACACTTCCTGCCCTCTGCTTGGACCTTGAAATTTGAGGGGTGGTTGGACGAATGGTCTAACCATGGAGCTTATATAAGATCCATGGTCTAACATGGGCCTTAGTTAGGTCAGAATGAAGCCTATGTCTTTGAGTCAAGTGGCGTTGAAAGGAGTAAGATTGCCTGACTAACCGTGTTCATTTTTTCTGGGTCGTTCGTTTTCCTCCCACTGTTTATAAAAGACCTACGGTTAAAGCGATTATTGAAATAAAATTCTATGTTTATTAGTCCAAAAATGACCTAGTTCGTGTTGTGTGTGGATGTTAAATCCCATTTCTCTCTCCCAGCTTGAACCTTGGGGTAGGTCTTATTAGCAACAGGTGAATCCTATTTTAGTCTGCTTTTAGATTTACCTGTCATAGGTGCAGAGTCGCCACTGGTTAGTCCAAAAATCTGATCAGAAACCCAAGATGCGGTAACGATAGAAGAAAGCATGGGTTTTAACCCGGAAAGCAATGGGTGTTACGTTAGTTACAGCTACTACCAATATGAATCATGATCAGAAAAGTTCAACCTAACTTAAAGGAGCTAAATCTGTATTCTTTGGCCCCGAGAAATGAACACAATGGGTCGCAACGATAATAATCTATTATGAATGTCTATAAACTGATTTACATTCAGTCGTTTCTGTTTTTAGTGTAATTTGTAATCAGTTATGCTCGGCGAAATATGTCCAAATTGAATGGCAGTCTGGTTATTCCAGTAAACACTGATAGTATTTGTGATATGTTTAGTCTCCTGGGGGGGTTGGATGGCTGAATGGTTAGCACGTGCGCGCTGTACCATAAAGTCTGTCATTGAGTCAACTGCCGTGGTTTCGAATCCCCGGTTGTACAACCTCGTGGGTTTTTCTCCGGGTCCTCCGGTTTCCTCCCACTGCTAAAGACCCCTACGCGCAAGCGAATTATTGAAATAAAATTAAAACCATATGTTAGTCCTGAAATGACCTAGTTTGTGTCGAGTGGACGTTAAACCCCATTTCTCTCTCTCTCTCTTTAGTCTCCTGTTTGTGGACATAAAACTTCATTTTCTAGCACATTTAGCTCCCTTTTCCTTAATTAAAATGTGTTCTTTTGAAATGGATGTCATAAGAAACAACCTGATTGAGAATATTTGTTTTGCAGGTGCATTTTTGAAATTAACCCAGATAACGCACAGAAATCATGAAAAAGAGGAAGACTCGAGTGTGCCAAAAAGTGGTATAACTAATCACTAAACTGTCAAACTTTAAATGGATGAAGTACAGTTACAACAATAGCAACAATATACCGGTACTGTGAGAAGGTATACGACGGTATAGATGCCACATTTTGGTTCAAGGTGCTTTAAATTCTGGACCACGGTTTGGTTAACATGGTACAGATATTTTAACTGTCCATTTTCATCCGATGCAGAATACTCCCCTGTAGTTCATGTGACAAGAAGGAGAAAAGATGGCTTTCGGCAATGAAACATGTGTCCCGCTGAAAGTACATTCCCCTCCGGTGAACCACAAATCACGGATATAGGAACATTTTGAATCAAAAACGTCAGATGGAAAAGCAGTGGCTAGGGAGCTGGAAACACGTCCAAGAAGAAATACTGTGATATGTATCGTTGCAACCTATGATGCAATAATGTTCATGCATGCAAACTTTAGGGATAGGCCTATTGAGTTTATGGTTAGTTTTTATACACCAGCACAGTGTGTATAAAATAGGTGATAAGGGACCGAGCCACAACCCTTTTATGAGTGATACTTTGTAAATGAGACTTTAAACGCACTGCAAGAAATCTTTTTAATGAATCTTCTTAATTAAACTTGATCTTCTTATTGTACTTTTGATAAGATGTCCGTTTACTTTAATGGAAAAATCTTTTGGTCATTTAATTTGTCCATCAACAATTTGGTACATTTGTAAAATTATCCTCAGTTCATTTTGTCTCTAAATATGCGGCCGTGTTGCATAAACATTAAAATTGTGTAACTCTCATCTACACATTTCATTTTGGGACTGGTTCATTAACTTTGTCAGTAGTCGAGTTCCATCTAAATTTTTATCTACGAGACTGAATCAATTTATGCCATTCTCACTAAGGAATGTACATGCTTAGGCAGAGTTATTGTGGAA